CACTAAATAGCAGTACTTGAAGTATTGTATTTTGGTGTATGGGGCATAGAGAACCACAGGCTGTGAGTTCATGAGGCGTTTAATCTTAGTCCTCAGAGGTGACAACGCATTTGTTGATTTCTTTGTTTGAAATTTGGTGCAGGTGTCAATTGATTGAAGTAGCCACTTACCATCAGGTGGACTGATAAGTACTGCCCCTTGGACGTGACTGCATGTATCTATCGAAGTCATTTCAATTTTATTTAAAAAAATCTTAGTTTCATTGGGTACTGTATTGTTACGACTAAGTCTTTTAATGCTAATATACGTTGAAGTGACGTTATATTTTACCACATTTTTATTAAAATGCTTAATTCTCGGTTTCTCTGTTTTTCACGAATTTTACAATCGATTCTAAACTTATTTTTTTATAGAATAAGGGTGACAAACTAGCACATAGTCCACCTGATGGTAAGTGGATGCTGTGGTCCATAGACATCTACATTTATCCTCGATTAAGAATAAAAACGCCGATGCGTTGTCATCCATGAGGACTAAGATGGAATGCCTCGTTTCCAGTAAAGAAGGGTCTTCGGATCTCTACACTCACCATACGAAACATAGCACCATTAAGATGCTATTTAACGCTGGTATTCTGTGAGAACATGGTCCTTCCCCGGTCTAGCCGCCCCGTTCTTGCTACAACCATAATATACATAGATGCAGCGTGGCTCTACTATGTAACTTCCCGGTAAGCTAGCAACTTTTAGATAAAATATCTCAGACCTGGATGATATCGGTATAAACTTACTTTCTTATCTGTCCGCCTGCTTGTTTATCTGGTCAGAAAATATTGTAAAAGATTTTAAACTAATTTCACCACTAGTCTAAAACTTGAAATTGAAGACTTACCACGTTTCTAGTTCTATGCAATGAGCACTAGGAAACTGGAAACGCGTGAAAAGTGTCCTATAGATGGCGGTAAAACAAAATGGTTTTATCACCATCTAACGATAGCTATAAGATACTTAATTTTACCATGGATTTTCCTATAGTCGCTCTCTTACAATACCCACGGAATAAATGTCAATGATAGAATACCTATATGCCCTTTATAGAATATAATATTATATTTCTTCATCTTCTCTTTTAAAAAACGTTACCTTTGCACTAAGATTTTCTCCTGTATCGTGGGGGCACATACATAAATTTTACAAGGACAAAAATCCAGACTAGGAACAATTATTTGTCAGCCATACAAATGCCTTTCCTGTGCGGGGTTCGAACCCGCGGCACTTGGCGCTGCAACCCATTGCTAAGCCACTTCGCCACGGAGCAGTCACCGTTAAAATTTAAGTCATTCGCTCAATGGAAAGCGGTGGTCCGTTTGAAATGACTAGCCCGAAAAAACTGAACAAAAAATTATTAATTGCTGACAATGTGATAAACTTTATTAAAACCCTAATAAAAAGTCTTCCAGATTTTGGTCACGGCAGCCAGCCTCAACGGAGGCTAGCCATCGGTGCAGGACAGGATTATAGTGCCCAAGTGTATGAGCAAGTACAGGTGCACTCTCTATTCCCTCACTCTCACAGACCGATGGGACGGTAAACCAACACGACCGGAGAGAGAACAGGTGCAGTGGTGAGACAACGCCGACTATTTGAAACCCTATGAAAGAAATCGATAAATAAAATAAAATAAAATATTCTACAACATTTTTAAGAGGGAAGGAGAGGGGGGAAGATAGTTGAGGCGCTTGGCAGGAAATCGTAAGGGCAATCCTTATGTGGCTTTCTATAGGGGCGGCCTATGTTCAGTTGTGGACTTTTAATGACTTGTAATTAAAGTATTTTTTAAAGCAAGGGTGACAATCTTGCATACTGTACACCGCGCTTTTCGGCCAGTCTCCACCCTTTCGTTGTTGACTTAACACGCATTCGAACCAAACGGTTTGCTACGTCGTTCGTCATGCGTGCAGCAAAGGAGTGGAATAAGTTGCCAGCATCTGTCTTTCCATCCGATTACCGTGTGGGTGTCTTCAAGGCAAGAGTGAATAAGGCTTTTGTCAAGTCAGTGCGCTTCACTATCTTAGGCTACACTTAAGATCAGGTGGGATTGTAGTTAAGATCAGGCTTAGAATAGTAAAACAACTCATAGAACAGTAAGTAATTAGAATAGTTAAACATATTGTACTCGAGTCCTCTGGAGTAAAGTTATATCTATACCTACGTTTGAATACTGATTCTGATAACGCGCTTAACTGGAACCACTGGGTTTTTGTACCACCACTGTACATGTTTTAAAAACATACATTTCTTCCCACGAGTGTTGATAAAGTCAAAATAAAACTTATAATTTAAAAAAAAGGACTTCAACTGAAACCGATTCATCGACTAAAGTCGGTGCCAAAACATAATGCATCGAAGAATTGAAGCACCGACTTCAGAAGCTGTATTTACGCGGGAAATATTAAGATACATCTACTCTATGCATCAGTAGAACTAGGTGACTATAACATTCTTTGTCGGCACCTGTTACGGTATGCACTTCCGTCTGTTCCGCAACTTGGGTAACTTGTAAGACGACACATATTATATAACAGTGTCCCGCGCCATTTGTGGTGCAACGGCTTTCTAGCTTTAGAATTAGGACGTGTTTTGACTTGCCGAAGAAAGGATGAAATGAAAATTCTTAATATTAATCAAGGTATATTTTTTGAACAATACGGTCCAGCTGTCAACGATTGAAACAGAGATTACTATTTTAATAATAATAGTGATCCTAGACCGAATTTCGGTCATAGTAGCCATTCTCAACACAGGCTATCCATTTGCGCAGGATAAAATTATATTGCCCTAGTGTGTGCGGAAGCACAGGTGCACTCTATATTACTCTCATAGTCCGATGGTATGGTAATTCGACCCGACCGGAGACGTGCTTTCCGATGCACGGTGGTGAAACATTTTAAATTTTGTGACGCTGCTACAGAATTTCTTGACATAAATACCCAATAACTGATTTTGGTCCGACCCGGAAATCTAACCCAGGACCTCATTAGAACCACTAGAGCGGAGAGGCAGTCAATTTAACAACATTAGTATATTAAGGGCAGTTTTTTTAAAAGACTGATAAAAGATAATCATAAAAATATTATAACGTCCGTTAATAGTTACAATTTGCATATAATAGTACAAATAATATATATATATATATATATATATATATATATATATATATATATATATATATATAAATTATTTTATATATATATATATATATAAATTACGTGTCACGTTGTTTGTCCGCAATGGGCTCCTAAACTACTTCACCGATTTTAATCAAATTTGCACACCGTGTGCAGTTTGGTCCAACTGGAAATTTTGTAGCGAAAAGAGGTAACATTTTCGGTAGAGATTTTTTAAAATATTAGTACGTTTTTCCTCCAATATAATTGTCATTGGTATTTAATGTAGTCTACTCGATTCCGTCATTAGGAACATGGTGACCTAAGACCGAATTGTAAGATTTTTTGTTATTTATATTTTTCTTGACTAGTATAGTATCTATCAGATAAACTAACTACACTTTAACAACTTTACTTCATTAAAAAAGAATTTGGAAATCACTGTTTAAATTAGTTCATATTCTTGCCTTTGTTGCAAGTATGGTTTTTTATTATAGATGCTGCCAAAATGTTGGAGATTATCAGGATACGTACACATAAATTTGAGTATACGAATATCGGTCTGATGTATGTAAGGAAAACGTCACGGCTTAGCTTTTGCCAACTTTAGTATAACTGTTGTGCAAATAATTTCTGTGAATTTGCACAATTATGATTGTGATGTAGGATAATGTCGAGTAAGTAAAGTATTTATAAATATATAAAATACGTTTAGGATAATTTCATTTTGGAGAAATTGATTCGTCACTACTTTTACCACGTTTTTTTAACTCGCTTCTGTGTTTTTAAACTAACTTTCCAATTAGGTAGAGACTTCAAATTTTAAAAATAGCGCAGAATTATATGACAATATAAAATATGAAAAAAAATTCAAAAAATTCACGGGTTTGGACGCGTGGTAAATTAGGGTAATGTAAATAAAAATGAGGTATTTCAGAAATACATTTTATTATAAAAAGACGTCTATAAACATATACTGTTAATCGACTGCAGTCAAAATAAACCTTACGAATTCTACTAAAAGAAAATCTATATACAAAAGTACGTTAACCAGGTACATTAGACGAAGCCTCTCTTCAACAGCGTTATTTTGAAAGAGATCAATTGAACTGCAACAATGGATGTTAAATATTTGTCGTAATACCTGAAAAATATATACAATCATATGTGCTTACATATATTACATAAATCTAAAATGTATATATTCCTACAAAACTATTTTACAACATACTCGTTATTTTTGAATGGAATTTTAAAATATATAAAATTAAATGTGTAAAATATATAAAAGTAAGCTTCAGTTTTCATTGCATTTCAACTCAACTCCTCGATTATTTAACGATAGAGAGTACATATCAAAAGTATAAACGCTATGACTAATTCTAAGTAGATCACATAGTAATATTTCATTCGTGACTATACACAGAGCCTTAATGAAAATGCCTTTTACTTTCTTTTCTCGAACACCCGTTTGATTTTCATTTACTGTTGTAATAGAAGGATACAATAAATCAAGTCCTCTTAAGGTTTTAGAATTAAGTAAGATAAATTGCTGTTTTAAATATATTAAATTTATGCGTCTGTTTTTAGTATAATTTTTCTGATAATGATTCATGTACACATAAGGTTTTATAAAATATTCGCTTCAAATTAAGTCAAACTACTAAATAGTTCGACTTTAAAAACTATTCGAAAGTAGCAAAAACTAAAAAAAGCTTGTTTGACAAATAAGTAGGTAATTACTATATGAATAGTTTTGATCCAACATTTATTAATTACAACATAATACCCCATTATTATAAACAATCGAGTGTTCAATGTTCAGTCTTCTTCTTCACCAGATCTTAGAAGAAAGACCGTGTCCATGAAGTCCTCCATATATCGACGCACCGTAGCTGGATGCTCCGTAGCCCGACAAACCTAATCCCGACGACACAATGGACTTCACAACTGGTACGGCAACGGGATGAGGCACTGGCACAGCGACTGGTTTGGGAACAGGGACAGCGTAAGGTGCTGGCACTGGGACTCCAACCTAGAAATTAATTGACAAAATTATTTAATGGAGGCTTGTCAAAATTACCTGATTGTTGTACAAGCCCATGGACTTTCCGAGAGTTCTACAAACTCGTTTTAAGATAGTTATACAGTCATATTTTTTTCATATTGCTGATACATGATTGCACTCGAGTATCTTTCATTGTAAAAAATATTTTTATAAGCCTTATATGGAATTAAGGGAGCTTATCGAAACTTTGGTCTTCACTGGAGATATTTCCAGTCGAACTAGAGTTACTTACTCGTACATGGCCCAACTAACAACTATTTAGACAGCTAAAGAAAAAGGCAAGATCAGGAAGAAAATATCTAGAAAATGCAAACCGTTGCTAATATGGCAAGGTGGCTCGTGACATAAAATGGATAAGCAGGACTTACTCAGTCCGAGAAAAATAAAGAAAATTATTTATTACAGGCGTACCGATGAATTAAAATGATCCTTCAGCACATAACAATAATCATTATTATCATGGTAGGACATGATAGAGATACGTCACCGTATTATTAAAATTCTTCCTTACTCTTTTAAACGTGTAGTATAGGTAGACTATCTACTATACATATCGTCCCATGGTCTTGAGAAACTAGGAGGAGCGTCTTTCTAATGACACCATGAAAATTAACACTGCGGTTTTACTGGGTACTAACCCGACTGCTAAGCGTGGCAATTATGGGAAATATCCCCCCTATTTGGTAATTAAAGGGGGGAGGCCTATATTCAGCAGTGGATTTTTGAAAAGCTTCATTGATGGTGATGCTGATCTCTCACATTTTCTTTACACTCTTTTCTTATATTCTTTACAAGCCAGCTAATATTCCACCTGGTGGTAAGTGGCTACAGTTTAGCTGAAAGCTCTTTAAGGAATCGTTAAGCTACCGACAAACAAAGAAGGCTACTTCGTCGTCATCACTATCGTATGCCTGCGGCAGCCGTGTCACTTAGAACAATGATCGCCTTAACGAATTCAGTTGCTGCCAGTCTTCTCGCGCAGATCCTCGCTCCGTCTAGCCAGGGGGAGTTCCAGATTGCGTTTACGTCAGTATTGTTTCTACCCAGTGAGACGTCTACTCCAAAGGTTGTTACTTCGGTGACAAATGTGATGTGCCTTTTGCCACGTTATTTTGCAATGTTAATGCAATGCTAATCATTGTAATACTTTTAATTCTGTAATTATATATAGACTTTTCAGATACTTTTGGCAACTTTATTATAGACAACTTTTGACAATACCTCAATATCTTAATTCTAAGTAGAGGGTGCATGTAGATATCTATGAACCACATTATCCACTTATCAAAGATGGATTGTGTATTCGCTTGTCAGCTTTACTTCTAAAAAAACCTTTTGCAAAAAGAAATTCAATAGTGCAACTAATTAGGTAAGAATGAGTTGCTTATTCAGAACTTTTGGGTTGAAAAGAAGGCTTTATCCCTAGTCACTTTTAAATTTTTAATAAAAGTTAAAGCTACTTAAGTTTTCTCATACTTCATTCTTTAAGCTAAGTGTAGTATATCAAAAGTAAAATTACCTGCTTGACAACGGGGTAAGGCACCGCGTGGGGCACGGGGACGGGCACTGGTCTGTCAACGGGAACAGCGACGTGCTTTTCAACGGCAACAGGGTAAGGCCTAGGGACTGCCACGGCGTAGGGACGGTCCACTGGCACGGGCACATTAACCTGAAATCATGGAAAATTATGTTTGAATTTGTTTCGGTGCTTTTTGTTTAAATCCAGGCTTCAACCAAATTGTTATGTTGTAAAAATATTTAGGTACATTTGAAATTTATAAATCCCTTTTTCAACAAAATCATTACCAAAGTTGGTTTAACACGGAGGCTTAAACCAGTTTCTATGTCTGCGTCAAAAATAATATATATTTTTATATATATATATATATATATATATATATATATATATATATATATATATAATAAAGCTAGTAAGTAAAATGGAATTTTCAAATATTAAATTAATACTCACTCTTACTGGGACAGGGTAAGGCCTGTCAACTGCTACAGGGTAGGGTGCTGGTACTGGTATGCCAACATGCTTGGTAACCGTTGTGTGGACATCAGCCCCAACTATCGTACCACCACTTAGACCACCGATTCCACCAACTGCTACACCAGGGCCTGTACCAGCAGCTAACGCAGCTGCTAGGCCTGACCCCAATCCGGAGCCATACCCATAGCCCCCATATCCACCCAAGCTGTACCCATGGGCGTATAAAGGAGCTGCGGCGGCATAGTGACCAACGAGGCCGCTGCGCTTCTGGATGACTTTGCTCGGTTCAGCAAGAACTGATGCAGTCAGACAGAGAATTGCTACCTGAAATATTAGAAAATGAAAATTTAGTTTTATATTTTATTGACACTAAGCTATAGCTTAGATCCAGAAGTAATTTCTAAATGTCACAGACTGCATGTCAGAGTTCGACTTCCCAATGCCGGCACTACTGAAATTGTTAGTTCAAATTTAAATGCTCATTTACCAAGTTCTCAACGGCGAGAACTTGGCAAGGGCGTAAGGAAACAAGTCACGTCCGCAAGATACGGAAAACTTCAGACACGGAGGCTGCCACCACAGATCCAAACCAATCGGTTTTTGTAAAAAAGAAATCTGTAGTGGCAGCCTCGTACTGGTAAGCAGAGTGTCAGACCCGCTCCCTAATTACTAAGGACTAATTACTGCTAAGGACCGTGTTTTGTGGTATTCCTTCAGAGAGCCATATGTTTAACATGGACTTGCGATGAGCTCTAATAATGACAGTGGGTGCGTTCGGCAGAAAAAAGCGCTAGCAAGCGCTTGTAAGCAAAATGGCGATCGTAAGCGGTAAGCGCTGTCAAATCGTAAGTAGCTATTTTCCTCCAGGACACGATGTTAGTTTTAACCGGGGAATCTAACCTAATTTAAATATATGTTTGTAAAGTATTCATATTAAAACGTACCAATCAAGAGTTTTTAATAACATGTATATGTTTATTCATGTCATTATATTACTTAAAACTAATATTGCACAAAACAACTTATAAACTCTACTTCAAAACAAAAAAATTAAATAAGCAAAATGGCGGATTGTGTCAGCGCTACTGAAGTAGCAATCGTGTCCTGGCCGAAAACTATTTTAGCGCTTATAAGCGCTTGCTAGCGCTTTTTTCTGCCAAACGCACCCATTGATGAATAGTGACTACTGCAACCAATTTTAACAAAGAAGGCCGCAGTTGCAGTACTCCTGATCACGAAGATGAATAACCCCCCAGTCTGTAATAATGTTGATTCTTTTATCCTTCCATCTGGAACACACTAGTGCATGTACATACTCAATGGCAGAAATGTTTCATTAGGTTGTAATAAATCATGTTGTGTCCTAGACAATAAAGGAGCACTCAGCGGCTTTAAAGGCGCGAGACGTTTGATACAGAATTCATCAGGCCGCTTGTTAAGAGAAACAATCAAGGTAAATACTTTATAAAAAGGGTAAAATTATACGAGCTCATGATGAAGAAAAAGGGACCACCATCACCGCAAGTATTAAATGATTAACTGAAATACATTTTAAATCCATAACATTGTCGGCAATTCTGCTGTCTGTTGTCGAACGAAAACAATGGCTAACTTTTACCCGTTACGTGTTATGACTTCACCACGCCACTTGGCATGCGCCTCGGGGTGGTAAGAAACGAAATTTTGGGCATGACGCGAATAATTAAACACGTATATCATAAGCGATGGTGCACAATGGATGCAGTTTGTTTGTTGTTGTTTTTGTATTATGCTTTCGCTTTTGTTTGAATACATTTCGAAGTGTACTCAAGAATTATACAATAGTTACCCTTCCCTATTTCCGTAGACAGACAAGAAGAAGCACGGTGAAACGTGCATTTGGAAAAAGCAATTTAGTAGCAGTATCTTTCTGATAGTTCAAAGTGAATAAACTGCCGTTGCCGGCTAACCAAACGTGGTACCTTGGGCGAGATGCTAGAAAGCAATCTATGGAGTTAAAGATTGTAATTCATTTACAGTTTTCAATTTTGCTTTGTTATTTATATTGCGTATAGCAAAGGATTAATATTACAGTAATTATTTGTCAGCAATAATCTTTACGTCTGAATACAATATAGAGGTTATAAAAATGAATAAGCATTTGCTAGTGATGTACGCGAGCTTGCCAATTCTTGTGGGTGTATGGAATCGTACTAACGCTCTAATTTATAATTCATAAAAAATGTAGTTACAATATCAACTAAACAGCAGTGTTTAAGTATTTTTATTGTTTTAATTTACGAAAAAGAAGCAATTATAAAACAGCTTTTTTTATTTATTATCGGTTGAAGTTCATTAAAAAATAATTATCTCACGCCGTTTAATATAAATTACATACAGTACCATTGAATTGTATTGGGAATATAATATATTGTACATTTAACAACAGTTTAAGCATGTTACTTATGTAAAAAACAATGGTAGTAAAAGTTAGTAAATCAAATAAATAAAAAATATCAATTTATTTAAAATTAAAAAAGTTTTTGTGTATTTTATACTATTAATCTTTGATTGTGAAGCACAGCTCAAATTGTGTTTATATGCACTGAAATTAGCGGAGATGTATCCAGTACTTTGAAAAATTACTGTACTGCGTAGAAATCGTAATAAAATTAAGAAAACCATATCTGATGCCAGGCAATTGATTTAAAAAAAAATATTTATATATTATTTATATATTATTTTTTCTTCTTTTATGAGACTGAATTTTAAAGAAAAGTTAAAGAACTAGCAATTTTGCTAGTTCAAAGACAATATGATCACAGGAGCCCGCTTTATACGTATGGCATGTTTTAGAATTATATTGTTTAGACTTATAGCTCCCGTGTTTGTGCGGGACATATAACAAAAAAGAGTGTGCTAACAGTGTAACTTGCCTAGCATATTGGAAAAAGTGAGTAAGGGGATTTTGTGTTTGTATAATTTCTTTCACAATTTTTCATCTATACCCCCTTTTTTGCTACTAGTGGTCCAAGTACAGCTCGCTGCTCTTTTCGCTCTGTCTACCCCGTCAGGGATAACAGGCGTGGCGATATATATGTTTTGAGACGAGACGCAAATGAAAATAAAAACGCTTTAAGTTATCAAATAGTAGAAGTGCTTAACTTTCATTAGTGGTAAACCCCTTGTTGCATACTCGTATTTTGGAAATATAGTAAATTTATTAATACAAACGAATTACATAACTCCAAAAATGTAGTGCAAGTATTGTTAGCCTACATACGTCCCACTTGTGGGCACAGGCCTCCTTTCATTTCTGAATGTTTGATACAAAAAAAAATATCCGCCACGCTGCCCCAATGCGTGCTGATAGGTTTTTCCAGAATATTTTCCTTTACCGCCCAGCACGTGGTAAATCGGCACATAAAATTACCATTGACAATTTCGTTGGTGCCAGTGGGGATTAAGCCCGGGTTATTTGTACTGTGAATTTTACGGCCACCGATTAGCCTCTGATGTGGTAAAGTAAACCACAAATTGTGTAATTAAATTAAGTTGATCATAAAGTAAACCACAAATAAATCGGCCACCGTAGTGGTAGTTTTTTTTGTAGTAGTTATTAGTTTTAGTGGCTTATTTTAATTCTTGTGTTCTAATCTGAATTGGAGCAAATATTTGTAAATAACACACAAATAACGGAGTGTTCTAGTACCTTTGATAGTATATCTAAGCCTCCGATATTTCCTCAAAAGCATTACATAAAACAATTGAATTTAGTTTCATAAAGCATTATTTGGAAATTGACGCCTTGGCCACAATAGGTCTGGTCAGTTTAGTTAGTTATTTTAAACTGCAACTCAACACTAAACTTTACACAAATGTAATAGAAAATTGGCAATGACATGAACATGGTTGTGTATAACAATGCATTGCCCCATTTTATTACGCACACATTATAAAAAGGGACTATGGGAAACATCAGAATTAGTACCCGTGTCCTGCGGTAGATGACGTCATACGATTCCGGATCATCAACCATTATCATTACAGTCTTTCACGAGTCCACTTCTAAAAATAGTTTCCATAGATTGCCTCTTTGAAGGGATATTTGTTATAGTTACCATGCCATACATGCTTCGGAAGTGGGTAGGCACACAGTTTTATTTATTTTTATGCTGCCAATCTCTTTATCTTTACGGATTTTTTTTATGGATGATAATAACCCCTGGGAGGGGTGATCGCTACCTAGCTATTTCTAATTTGTTTTGTATTGTTAATTGTAAAATGATTGCAAGCTGTTATTTAAAAACAAATAGTTTTGCTGGGTTTCTTGCTGTTTCTTCCCAGGACTGAGGTATTTTTCCAACCAGTGGTAAATTTAAAAAAGTGACTTTCATTAAGTATTATTTATTATATATATTGAATAAAAAAGTTTTTGTGTCTGTTTCTCATTGTAGTTTACATCCATCGCATCGCCACGACACCCATGAAATAATTTCGGTAGTGGATCCTACTTAGTCCACCACTACGCGGCGTAACAATTTCGGATAATATGACATATATGTAAATAGCTAAAGTGGTGACGGGGATTAGTACCAAATGAGCATTGTATCTTAGTTTTTTAACGAAAAAATTTATTTTGACACAAAAATAAAAATATTTTTACACAAATATAAAATTTAAGCTTTTTTTTCTAATTTAGAAAAATTTATAGATTTAAGAAGAATAGATTTAAGCACAAATAATGTATTATGTTATTATTTTTGAAATTTGAGAAGTAGAGTGCGGATAGCTCAGTGGCTAAGCGTGCGCCTCAATCTCAAAGTACCTACGCGTGTAACTAATTCCCCGTAGACACTAAAAGTGTTATTAAAGATTTTGACAAAAGTGATATTAACTTGTAGTAAAATTAGTATAATCAATATGTAAATTTACTATCTTTAATAAAAAAGAAATTTTATATTCCACTTTATAAATTTAAATAAGTCACTACAACACGATATAGAGGCAGTTTACATACATAATTTAAAACAAATCCCGTAACAATTATTTGTAGACCATACAAATAGTTGTGGGATTCGAAGCCGCTGCCCTCAGCGCCGCATCTAAATGTTAAGCCACTGCGCCACTGAGTCGTCAAGGATTGAATAAACGAGTATCTTTTAGGTATGAAGAATAAATTGTATCAAAGTTTTTCATCTACATTTAAGTATACCGCTATTAATATGAAAATAGGCTCAAAATTCACTTACGAAAGCCTTCATTTTTCTTTTGATCTACGGTAACACGCACAAACACTTAGGTAATTGTGAACTGAGGGTTCGGTGCGATGTAATACTGTTAGCCGCGGCGACCACTGGTCATATGTGTCCAAGCAAGTCTGTAAGGACTTATATAAGGCGGTCTATAAACCATCCCTACTATCGTTCGAAGGATTTTAACGTCAAACGCGAATATTTGCGACACTGGGCCCCGGAATAATAGAGTTGCATGTAATGGGACTAATCTGGTTTCAATTACATTGACCTGTCGTATTCGTCCCAGATAGGGTAAAGACAAAGGCAGTAAGCCTTGAGTAGTAAGTAATTACCGTGAAGGGCCGGTTTAAGAATATCTACTACACCATGTCATCCCGTGGATATAGCAAGAAGTGATAAAAGGTAACGAATCAGGAGATGAGCAGCAGCGTTTGACTAATAACGATAAAAATAAAAAATAAACGGCGGTTACCAACTTACTAACGAGGTAACTTAGAGCGAGGCCTGTGTTCAGCAGTAGACTTGGCTGTAACGGTAAACTGCTAAGTAACTGGTGACGAAACTGGAAAAGACTAAAGTTAACACTATGTACATAACAAAGCTTTATAAAACCCTTCCCAAGTCCACAGCTGAACATAGCCTCCCAAAAGGATTGCTACCCGCATGGTGGCTCATGGCCGCGTTTCGTGGCTTGGGGGAGGCCTATTCTCAGCAGTGGGCTTGTGAAGAGTTGTAGTGATTTTTTTATAGAATACGGGTGACAAACGAGCACACAGTTCATCTGATGGTAAGTGGATGCTGTGGCCCATAGACATCTACATTTATCCTCAATTAAGAATCAAAACGCAGATGCATTGTCACCCCTGAGAACTAAGAGAAGATTATTAGAATTTTTTTCATGAAAAATATGCTTTGATGAACGGTAACTAAAGTGTACTGCGGACACTTAAGTGATGGCGTGACGACCTTCTAAAACATGCGGATAGTTGATGGTTGATATTTAATTTTTTCCTCATCATCATACGTGGTAGAGAAATGCTGCAGCTATATTGTGGTTGTAGCACAAATGGGTTGGCTCGATCGGGGAAGAACCACGCTCTCTCAGAATACCAGCGTAAAATAGCAACTTAATGGTGTTATGTTTCGTATGGTGAGTGTAGAGAACCGAAGACCCTTTTTTACTGGAAACGAGGCATTCCATCTTAGTCCTCAGAAGTGACAACGTATCTGCGTTTTGATGCTTAATCGAGGATAAGTGTAGATGTCTATGGGCTACAGCATCCACTGCTATACATTACTATCAGGGGGACTGTGTGCTCGTTTGTCACCCTTATTCTATAAAAAGAATACCGCTTACCAAGCGTAACGATTAAGGCAAATCACAGCAGTTTATTTTTACGTGCTGGTAATGAAGGAAAAGAACGTAAATTTAATGATTTCTTAAATAAAACTATTTTCTCCGGATTTTATCGCGTATCTTAACTTATTTTATATTTCCGACGTTTCGATGTTTTTTTGATTTGAATGCCCTCACGAATCATCCTTGGTAGGAATCGGTGTTCTTTAGCGTGTATTTTTAAGATGACAAATATGGCTAAGTGCTACTATCTGCTTGGCATCCTATGGTTAATAAATTAAATCCCAACCCAAGTATACAACTCCAAGTCTTAAGATACTATAAGTTCATACTGCGTAGTTCGGAACAAAAATTAATAATTTTAATCTGTGGGTAACCGCGGTTAACTGTGATATCAGGACGTCGAACACCTCAATCCTCTCTGTGACCATGGGTGCTGTAAAGTGCTCGAAACATCAAGAATGTAAAATAAATTATTGTACGCGATACAATCCGTAAAGACAAGTTGTATTTAAAAAAGAGGGCAAATTGCTTACAACTTAGGGCTTAGAGTTCCATTCAGAATAATTGAACACAAGTTGGTGGGACTCCTCTGACTAGGAATTAGTATGAGTAGGTAACCACCCCCTAACTATTTCAACCACCAAGCGGAAGTATGTGCCCAACCGTGTTCAGGTCTGAAGGGTATACGTTTTGTACGTTACCTTATTGTAAGGATGACTAGTATAATTATAGGCTATTAGGCATTTCATCTCGGTCCTCAAAAGTGAAAACGCATCTGTAGTATGTTATATTGGTTATATTGGTTGCAGATGTCTGTGGGCTGCATTCTCTTTCCACGAGATGGACTGTAAGCTTCTTTGTCGCTTCAATCCATAAAAAAACTTGATTAATAAATCGTGGATTCCGAATTAAAAATGAGTACAAAATGCATATTTTCGATTTTCATGATTTGGTTCTGATAGTGATTAAAACTAATTTTTACGGATTTTATCGCGTTTATTTTTACTTTTTATTTTTAATTCCCGACGTTTCGGGCGCTTTCCAGCACCCATGGTTACGGGGGACTGAGATGATCACAAACTGTAGACGGCCCCAACCATCATATCCTAGACGGCCCCAACCATTACATCAGATTTGATAGACCACAAATCCTCGCGAAAGAACACCGATTTCTACGAAGGATGATACGTGAGGCTATTAAAATTAAAAAACATCCTAATTTCAATAGAGAAGGAGGCTGGGTACTACCACCTGCTTGGGATCCTATAATCAATAAAATTAAAACTAAACCCAAGCATACCACTGCAAGACCTCAGGACATAGTGAGTTCATTTTGCATAGATCGGACCATAAACAATAATTAAAAAAGCTGAAGGTACTCCGGGTTTAACAATGACATCGGGACGTCAGTCATCTCAGTCCCCCGTGACCATGGGTGCTGGAAAGCGCCCGAAACGTCGGGAATTAAAAATAAAAAGTAAAAATAAACGCGATAAAATCCGTAAAAATAGTTTTAATCATGTGCAATGTTCGCGTAAATATAAGAAATCATTATGGTTCTGATAGTGCCAAAAGTGTACATACGACCACAAAAGTACTCACTTATTTTCACCCTCCCGTTTATGATATTACACTTAATAAGGTCGGTGGAGATATTTACAAGTGTCACATGTTAAAAAAAGCTTTCAAAGCCTCATTTTTCGGTTACATTTGGGATTGAAAGTTACCCTCTTCATCTACCCTGATATCATAGTTGCTGAACTATGTCTCTTCGACAGATTGCTAGAAAGCACGGTTCTGCGTACACTTACTGTTTTCATGGATTCCCACGTAGTTGTATAACAAGTGGTAAAATTAAACATTTTGTACAACCAATTACAAAATAAATAAAATTGCGTACACTTACTAAATCTATCGATTCCCATAAAGTACATTAGGCTATAACAGGTGGTAAAAAAAATGTAAAACCGAATTCAATATTAATAAAATGAGAACATCATCAATGTAGTTGAAGCCAATCATCCGTATTGATGATTAAGGATAACTCAAAAATTACCGATCATATCTTGATCCTATTTATGAGATTGAGAACAGGGGAAGTATTGTGGTCATAACTCATTGAAAGTCATCGAAAGCCTTTATACTAAAATATACATTTCACTATTTAGCGTATCCCTCCCCTCAATTTTGGAAAGGTTTTGTAGTAGAAAAGAGTCAAAATAGTCCTCCGCGCTCCTCAATTGTTTTTGAGCCAGAGCACCTATTCATCATCAGGTTATAAGTTACCTTATACCATTTGTTAAGGGCCTGCTACGTTCCGACCGTTGAGGGCTAGTAATACAAGCAATCCTCCCCCCTTCACCAACGCTGCAGTGATGGATCCCTTTAAGTGTCGGGAAAAAAGGCGAGTGATTCACCGCCAACTTTTATACAGCAGTGATGGATGGGAGGAGGGTAAAAAAGTTTGCTAACTTGCATCTAGGGTGGGCCAGCTAAACCTGCTCTCTGTATAATTTAAAGAGAGTCTCAGTTATTTCGCTCTTACTCCAAAAATAATTAATAATGTAAATACTGACTTTAAATAACTAAAAAAAAAAATAATTTCACATTCTAGTCGGCGATAAGACACATCGTATAGAAGAATTTAGCCCCGAATTCAGAATATAAAATTGTTTTATTATTTTAGTTCCTTCAAGTCGGATTTTCCTTTTTTTAAAGTTTATTGTATACTATATCTTCTAAATGGTTACTACCTACAGTATTTAGACACCTCTACCCCACTTCTGAATTATAACTTATTAAATAAAAAACAATAAGCTAACATAACAACATCTTATTGTAACCATAATTATCAATATTAAAAAAATCTTTTATATTTTAAATAAATAGATTGACTTGGGCCATCGCATGAAAACAAGTATATCAATCAAATGTTTTTATATTCAAATCAAATGTATATCACAAGTAATACATATTATATTAAATTCGATTGCTTAGTGCGATTACGACTTGGTATTACATGGATCTCACAACTTTTTATGATAGTAGAACTAAGTTGCGAGACTTGTTTTTTTTACAAGTTATGTTTTTGATGTGATCTCATTTCTTTTTGCAGATAGTCCTTCTTTTTTCCTTCCGGTACCTTCTATTTATTGATTACCAACAAAGTACCTATCTACACCTTTTATTCCATTATATTACACACATATATTATACAAGTACACTGATTCATTCGCTGCAAATGTAACTTTGTAATCCTATATATTCATATGGGATTACAAAGTTATTTATGCAGTTAGTGTATTTAGAAAACTGGACCGAAATTGAAAAATATTTTAGTTTTTCGTCGACTTATACACTAAACACTAATGGTTTTCTCAGTTTGAAGCTTCTATATCTGCTAGAAGTGCCTTAGAGTTTTGATGATCAGTCAGTCAGTGAGTGACAAAATTAAGAAACTTTGACTAATTATAATTCCTAAACTACTGGTTCAAAGTGAATGAAATTTGAAATATACCGTGTCTATACAATGTCCGCTTGTTTTCTTAAAAAATTCAAAATTCACGTTTCTATTTTCATCCCCAACGAAGTTATAGAGGTCGAAAATGGCCTGAATTGCTTCGAGAAGAGTATGGTACGGCCGTGC